TTAATGGTCTAATCTACATCAGATACTAAAAGATATATACAGATGTGTGAGATATGATCTTTGCATCTCATGGAGCCTATCACTGATTAAGTTGCATGAATGATAATTTTAGGTTAGACATAGATGCCAGGTCTGAAGTTCCACATGGCCAAATAAATGGTGTTATCTACATTAATAAGTCATAATTCTTGGGATTTAATTGATAATTTCTTTGAAAAGTCACATAGTCTTCTTGATTAGGTGTTGGCACCTGTAGGGTTTTCAGAGTTTCACTGAAATCAGGAGCAAAGGGAAGAATCAAGAGCAATAGGCAGAACCAAAAGTATACAACATTTCCAGTTTTTCCGGAAAGAAAGCATCCACAAAGCTCAGGCAAAGGAGACTGTGGTTATTAAAGGAATTAGCATTGAAAATAAGCCGTGTGCTTTGTATTAGGACCATACAGAAGATGGCTTGAGTGCATCTCGGTTATTGCTAAATCTCACCCATTATAGGATCAAAATTGGAAAAGGATAACCCTTTCATTTGAGAAGAGAACAACTTGACCCCTGGTGCAGAAGAGTTGCCTGGGGAATTGGTTTCCTTGGGTTCTTCTCACATAACTCAGCCATCTAGGAACTCAGAAACTTCTACAAGCCATGGTCCAAGGGGAAAGATAACATACTCTTCATTCTTACTTCATAGCATCCGGGAAGATAGAGATAAGCCAGCACTGAGGAGAACAATATTGTCCTTCTTGCTACTGCTGGAGCAGGTGGCAGACCTTGGTGTAATCCATGTGGTGCTGGTTTTACACACAAGCAGAATGCGAGAGTTAGGGGGTTATGGAAGCTTCCACTCAGGTTTCAGAAGAAAGTCTGGGAGTCTATGCTTTGTGACCCTGAGGAAGCAGAACATGCACCTGTGAGGGTGAAGCTGACAGTGTACAAAGTTTCAAAAAGAGATGCTCAGAACATGAGATGACTACAGAATAAAGCTGTGAGTGAGCAGAACCAGCCCATGAGATGAGTACTGTGGGATGCAACCAGCAGGGCCTTGAAGGTTGAGACTTCCGAGGCTTTGAAGCTCACATCTGAGCACAAGCTTCCTTTGGTACTGCACATGCAGCTACAGATTTTAGCCCTGTGGGGTTTCAGTCTTATTTTAATGCAATTTCTATTTCCCTATAGGAATGAGGAGGTTTGCCCTATGCCACTATATGTGGGAAGAGTTTAGCTTTCTTTTTGATTCTTATAGGGGCTCACAGTTAAGAGTTTGCCTTAGGGCCACATTGGAGACTTTGGAATGGACTTTTCAACGATGCTGGAATTGTTGCAACACTGCAACTTTTAGAGATGGACTAAGTGCATTTTGAATAATTAAATGAACATGAGTCTTCTGTGGGTCAGGAGAAGACTGTCATGATTTACGTCTAAAATGTTCCCCAAAAGTTAAGAGGTAGCACCTGCTCAAAAGGGGCAGGTCACTGGGAAGTGTGAGCTGGAAGAGTTCGTTCTCGTCCCCAGCTGCTCCCTTCTCTCCCTGCTTCCTCGATGTGATGGCTTGAGCAGCCTTCCTCCTCTGGGTCCTTCACCATGCTGTTTCTGCCTTGGAGCTGCCTGGCCATGGACTGAATCCACTGAAATTGTAAGCAAAAATAGGCCTCTCCTTTAATGTAGGGCTTTTGTGTATTTTGCCCAGCAACAGGAAAGTAACTAATGCAATATCAAACTCTTTGTGACTCAAATCTCACTTCTTTCAGAGGCCTTACTGATCCTTCATGTCTAGGTTAGATGAACCTTCTCTTTGAACAGTAAATTGGCCACCTATCCTCTTGTGTTTGCCTATTATCTGTCTATATCCCACTCAAGCCTTCAAGCCTTTCTAGGCTAGAGTATTTACATCTTGTTTACAGCTATAACTCCAAGTACAGTACACTCAATAACATGTATAGGATGAATTACTATTTTTTTCAAATGTTTGCTATTTATAACTAAGGAATATTTTCTTACATTCATATTAATCTCAGCCAGTTTATTGCATAATATATTAAATAGAGTCGACATCATTTTACCTTATTTTCTTTCATAAATTTGCTAACTTTATTTTCACTGTTCATTTTTCATCCTTTCCTTTTTATCTACTGAAGTGTTAACTTTTTATAAATTTGAATAAAGTCTTCTCATATTATAGACATTAATTCATCCATGACATCTATAATAATATTCCTTTATTCTTTGTTTATATTTCAATCTTGGTGTTTGGAGACATAACTTTCTTTTTGCATTTTATGAAGTAAAAGCTATTGGTGATTCCCCTCAAACTTTCTTTGAAAGTCCTTTTACATCTACAAAACAAGCATGTATAATTTATTTTATTTTTCAAGTTTTTATGTTTCAATTTTTATTTTTTAGTTATCCACTTTCCCCCTGGAATTTATTTTACATGTCACAAGAACTGATCTTTCTCTGAAAATATTAACCAGTTGACAGGGACATGAGAAACCTCCTTAATCTCTCAAGGTCAAAAGTTGTGAATTCTGTGCGTTATTTTTAAAATAGTAAATACTGACCTTGTCATTCTAGAAATAATAGTACCTATCTCTGCTGTTTATACTCAAATATGGAATACTGATATTCTCTATTTGAAAAGCTGTATCAATATACATCAGACATTTCTTTGAATTACTCGGCTAACACAACTGAAAAATTCAGAATTTACACAAAGACAGAAACTTTATCTTTACAAGGAAAGTGTCCTCCGATACCCCAAAACCAATATAGCTGAAAGCAAGGACTTGCTACTAAGCCTAGGATTCTTTTGCTCAGTTCATTCAGAAATGATGAATCAGAAAAGTGAAGCTCTGCTAGCAGTCCTGGTGTCACCAGATTACACAAATAATACTAGATGCTAACAGTAGACATAGCCAGGTGCTGGTCTCTGCCACTCCTGGCCGCCACCTTACAGTGCTAGCCTGATACTGCAAGTCAAGTCAGCTGCTTACTGGGCTCTGCCACTGCTGGCCACTGCCATCCAGTGCCAGCTTGTGCCAGACACTGTAGGTGGCTGTTGGGTGCTAGTCTCCGTCACTGGTCTGTGTTCAGTGGTCTCTGGAGCTCTTTAGTGCTAACAGTCCCTAATGTTTGTTATTCTTTCTTTTTAACTGCACTCTGTCTATGAGTAGATTTATGGGACTTTTGGAGCCCTTACCACCCAAAAAATAAGTCACAAGCATGTTCATAGGACCATCAATGCGAGTCTTTATTTCAGTAGGGCCTGTGCTGCAGCACGGAGATCAGTACACTGGAGAGAGCCTTCCTAGACTAAACTGAGAAGTATTGGGAGAGCTGCTAATCGCAGTTTCAGGCCTGTGATTGGTGCAAGTATGGGTCCATGACTGGTACACACTTCCAGAATATTCTTAGCGGTCATGGCAGCAATCCAGTGTAGTGAGTGAAACCAGGGCATCTTCTGAAAGGCTAGGTGTGGGGGTAGAAATGTTAAGAATGGGCCTAGATGCCTCCATTCTTTTTCTTGGTTTGAAAGAGAAAAAACAATAAAAGCAATCCCTCCCTTCTTTTAAAAAGACAACAGTAACATCTGAGGTTGGGAGTTGGAAAGGGGCACCACGCTGTGGTGGAGCTACACCTTGGATGAACTGTAGTGGAGAAGAGTAGCTACTGGATACCCAGGCAGGACACCAAAGCATGTGATCCCAGTCCACCGGGTAAGGAGCAAAGAGAAGCGAGGAGGGGTTTGACAGCTGCCAACCAACCCGTGTATCCCGTAACAGGCACTGGAATCATGGGAGAATCAGGCACTTCTAATATCCATGCTTTGGGACAAGGTACTTTCCAGGCAGTCTTATGGGTTCAGCAAACATTGTGTTCATTCTATCTGTCACCTAAATAAATTATTGATTAAATTATTTTAAGGCATGATACTAGTCAACTGACATGCTCTTAATTCAGACCGAACAATAATAATTGAAGGAATATTTTTAGCTTTTTCTCCCTGTCAAAATTTAACGTGAGAGCTACACAGCAGTGGAGACTGATAATATGTAAGTATAAGAAGAAGTTTTCAAACTTTAAAGCTCATAATAAATTCGAGGCCAAAGGTTGATTCCTGTACCAAATGTGGGATTTTTAATAGTTTGGGGCCCTAAATCCCCAGGGTTACAGAAATCCCAAATACAATGTATTTTCTATTATTAGCATTTGCTATTTCTAATCCTGCTAAATTTCTACTCTAACAAAATATAAAAATTTGTAGTTAGTTTATAAGATCAGATGTTTTCATGTGCAAGAATATTTCTTCTCCAACTCCAGGATTTGTTTTAAAAACTGAAATCCACAATCAACTTATCCTATTTTTTATCAAAATGAAAACATTTACTGAGGAAGGGAAGTGACTAAGAAATATGCTGGAATTTCACCTTTGTTACTTTCATTTAAATCAAATTTTTTAAAAAAATCTGTATGGCTTTCAGAGATACAAATAAAACATGTTAAGAATTTTAGCTGACTTCTAAATGAAGGGATTTCTTATATAATATTAACTTTTCAACCATAAATCTACTTTTTATGTTAGACTCTTGTCATCGGGGCAGGCAGTAGAAGTTTAAATGTTCCTACTCAGAGAATATCCTCTGGTAAAAGAGCAGGGGAGTGTTAAATGACCACCAAGTTACCAAGTAAATCATCTACAGATTCTATCATGTACATGTTACAATTATGTACCTTTGCGTTTGGTTCCATTTTCCCCAAAGTAAACAAGGGCTTAGGAAATGAAGCCATATGTTTTATCTAGGAGATGATATAGTATGAAATTTTAAGTTGAGCTAAGCAATCTTTAATAAAAGCACTTTATTTGAAGTAGTTAAATAAAAAGTAAATTTAACCATCTGTAAGAAGGAATCATTTATACAATAGTTCAAAAATTCCGTTAGTAATGAAACCAAAGATATCACCATGTATGAGAAAAGACTACAGATTCGACAGTCACCAGACCACATGAGGTGTTTTTACCGAGTATTTATTTTTTCATGCTTGGTCTAGAAGACAACACTTCCATTCTTTGCCAAATTCAAGCATTTGGCTTTGAAATCATGATCACATTCAGGTCATCAGTGGGGACTGTAGCAATAAAAGTAAAATTGTGTTATGGTGCATTTTAAGTGGTTTATTTAAATGCTTCTTCTTGCAGGCTAATAACATCTTTTGGATCTAAAAAATGCATCATTTTAACAGTGATTTTTAAAATGTACACAAGTGTCCAGAATTCTGATCACCTGCAGAACATCTGAGTGTAATGACAATATTAAATCACTTTTAACTGCCAAAGTCCAGGTTCCCCCATTTCTCTCAAGCTAAAACACTTATGATAAATCGGAGGGGTTCTAATAACTTTAAATCACTGTGTCCTGCACATGCTCAGAACCAATCACTTCCAAATTTGAGAGCATATAAAAATTTGAAGAGTTTCAATTATTTTAAATTGCCATGTGCATTGTAGAGAGAGATTTAAAATTGTTGTAGTGCCTCACATTTTCGAAGCATTTCAGTTTGGAAGTGAGTCAAGAGCATTCTCGTCTGGAAGCTCAAGACACATTGGACTAGTTTGACTCATCAGAACTAGAAATATAGACCTGAAAAACAAAGAACAATTTTTTTTAAAATGATACAACTTGAAAGGTGGGTGTCTTTCAAAAGCGAAATGAATGCTCTGTTCCAATTAGGAAACAGGTAAACAAGAAATGTAGGGATTGTTAGGACAGGCCAGGGGAGAAAAATCCAAACTGTATTTAGAAAGGGAAAGGATGGTTTTTCTTACACTTGAGGCAATGTGAGAGATAAAAGAGATACAAAGCTAAAGAAATGCAAGAAGGCTCTGTAAGCATAGCAGGCAAATTCACACACTCCTACGGCTGAATTTTAATAGTGGCATTTCCTTCACGATATTTCTCTTTGCCTCGATTTGCCCAGTAAAGCTAACTTTTTGGTTTCCTGTTGCACAGATGATTGTCCGGCCTTATGTTTTACCAACACTCTTGCGCTATATTTTCTGCATTCTCTTTGTTTGATTGCAGGAAAGGGTGAGCACTTTGACATTTTACACAGCCCAGAGTTCACTTTCAACATCTAAATCCTTCAAGGACCCCAAAATTATATTAGCACAATCGGGCTATTTAAAGATGGCCTTTCTTCAGCATTTGCCATCTTTTCATCTAAGAAACAAGTTATGGTCTCCTTTGTGACCTTTGGATTTTCACGTATTTTAGGCCAGGCACTGCCCAGAGAGCAAGACGCTCTTCATAATTCTGCATCAGTGAAAACATAATGTCCTATAGTTGAGAAGGGAAAAAAAGGGTAAAGGGAAAAAAATGAAAGAAAAAGAGCCGGAAGGCACTGGAATAATTAAGCAAATGCAGTGACAGCTGTGGCAGGTCCTGGGCAGAACTGGCTCCACTGAGCTGAATTAATGACATCAACAGCCCAGTATCTCCATTAACACTTGATCATTAATTATTACCCTCTGACAGTAAGAGCCCAAACCTTCTTAGGAGTGGCCTGTTATTAATCTACCTTACCTGCCCTCAACACTGACACCTTGGCACATTTAGTAAAGCTAGCTTTCATTTCTTGTTTCTTATAAACTTCAACTATGGCTTAACCTACTTGAATAAACAGCAATGACCCTCAGATTATAATTCTACTTTGGATTATTGTGTTTCACATTCCATTTAAGGCAGGGAGAGAACCTACCTGAATCTGCTACAGTGACTTCTTTGTCAGGCTTAAGCGGGTTGAGAAACACAATTTACCTGAAGAAATGCACAAGGTAGAAAAAGGGCAAATCATTCACCCTCGTCCTTCTTACCTAGTTCTCGGGGGCAAGGGCTCCCTGGATTTCCTCAGACTCTCATTTGTGGAACTATGATCAGCATAACTGTCTTTTCCATTCTAAAACTTCTTCACCGAAAATGCTAACTAAACACACAGAGAACTTCACTTTTATGTAGAGAGCATCAAATAATTGCCTTTATCAAATTCAGATCACCTCCTGACAAGTCACAAAACTATCTGTTTTACAGTGAAAATTACTTGTATTTTATCTTTGCAAGACTAAAGATTCATCCTATATCCACATCTAAATGAATCTAGTGAAACTTTAAAACTGTGGCCATTGCCGGGTTCGGTGGCCATGCTCCTACATCGGGAGGCTGAGGCAGGAGGATAATTGAGAGTTCAAGACCAGTCTGGGCTAAAAAGTGAGTTCAAGGCCAGCCTGAACTGCAGAGTGAGACCCTGTCTCAAGAAAAAGACCCCCTCCTGAAAAAAAAACTCTGGCTATTTAGCTGTGGCCACACACAAACACACTCACATACACAAACAACACAGATACAACACAATCTATAAAATTGCAGGAGGATTAAGAGCTGAAAATAACCAAATATAGTATCCTGTTAAAGTTTAACAATGCCTCAGTTTTCTCTTCAACAAGAGAAACTGCCAAATGTCACTGTGTTTTAGTCACTGCTGAGGAGAAAAAATTGTGGAAAGTAAACACAAGCTCACAAGCTAAGTACTCTCCTTGCAGCAGCAGACCTTGCAATATAGGAGTGATAATTAACCTTCACCAGTGTAGACTTCGTAGAAGTCCAGCATGTTAACTTGCTGATTGTTCTTTTCCTGCTAAAGACTGAATCTAGAGTTCATTTCTTAGTCATAAAAATAGACACAGTATAAGTTAATAGAGCATCTGCTCAGCTAGTGGTCCTGAAGACACTGAGAAAATCCTAGTGCTCCCAGGAATGCGTGGTATATTTTCCAGGTGGAAAGAGAATCCATGTATAAGCAAACAGTGATAGAATCAGACTTGACCACATTTCTGTCTATTCTCTTCTGTAAGGCAAAAGTGATATTGGTCCCAACATTGATGGGCAATTGTTCATTTTTCTAAACTAATTGTGAGAAATAAATATGGAGATTACATATATATATATATATATATATTCCATTTTACTAAATACATAACACTTAGATCATGAGGACTAAATGTTCCTCCATCTTTGCTGTTCTAAACCCTCAAAGTAGCCTTCCTCTGACCCAGGGGCAGACCTCAGCCCTGGCCTATATTTACAAGGTCTTGTAAATTAGTCCTTCCTGAGGATCCTCTTGAGTCTTTTGGTGGATTAATGTGACTCAGCAGCGTTTTTTCTTTTTCAGAAATCATTACTTAGAGATTACAGTGTGCGAGACAAAGTCTTTCATTTTGACCAGTACTTGGATATCCAACACAATAAAAGTGTAAAATGAAAGGAAACATGATTTAACTCTAATGACATTAGTTCTTTCATCTGGAAAAGTGCTAGAAAAAAAAGAAGCAGCGTGGTTCCTTACAAGTTAAAGCTGAGACAATTGTTGATAGATGTATATTTCCACAGCTAATGCCACAGTGGAGAAGGAAGGATCTAGAAAGACTAATAACAGGACTAAATTCCATTTAGTAAAAATTAAAATGAAACAAAAAAAAAAATTTTTGGTCTTTGATGTACAAAGCAGTTTGGGGTTGGGAATCAGTATACCTTATCGATATTCCACTTTATTTGTACTTCATGGGAATTATCATCTAATGGAACCAGTCTTTCTCATCAGTTGAGACCTGACCAAGCAGGTCTGTTCCTTAAAATTGTTCTCATCCTACAGGCTTTGTAATAATTAGGAGGAGTTAGCCCAAAATTAACTTCACTTCAGGGACATGCTGATTCTACAGACACCCCAACTGATATCCCAAATGTAGATTTTTCTGGTCTGATAGACTCAGATGGGTTCAATGATATTTTATAACTTTCTTACATCAGTCAAGTGTTCTTTCTTGATAACACACTAGTTTCAAATCTAAATAACATACTTTTAGGGCTGAGGATTTAGCTCAGCATCGCAGCGCCTGCCTGGCAAGCACAAGGTTGTGAGTTCGATTCCTGGTACCGGAAAAAAATCAAACCACAAATAAATAAATAATATACTTTTAATTCCCCTTTTCCCTTTAGCTTGCCTCCATAACAGTAATGTTGTTCTGAATTCTTAAAACCACAGGCTAGGACCATAGCTTAGTGGTACAGGTGCCTGCCCGGCAAGCGCAAGGTCCTGAGTTCAATTCTCAGTACCAAAAAAGAAAAATATTGCTAAGAATGGATTCTTAAAACCTGTTCTATTAAGCTTGCTCTAGTTGTTCCCACAGCAAGGTAGGTCTTCCTCCTAATATCATTTGTTTTAGTTTTTCCATAGTGTTTCTGACTCATAAATTGCTGAGTGACATAAGTTCACTTTAGAATCCAGCTATAAATACCGTTCTCCAACGATCGCCTACCATATAGATTCAATTTGTGCTCAAAAACACTTAGCAGAAAGGATAGTAATGACACAAAGCATTAATTCACTACATTCATGATATCTACAACAAAGGAGCCACATTTCTTCTTAAAGAAGAAAAGTTACTATATTAAACACTCTCTATTACAGCTTCTTCCTAAAAATTTTTCTGGATTTTCATCTTGTACACCACACAGAATGACCCTTTAAAAATTAAAATCTTGCATTTTGATTACTTCTTTTTTCTGCATTTAGCAGAAGATTACAGAGAAGATATTGTTTGACATTGAAATTCTGTTAACCATGTCCTCGGCTGGAGCATAGTTGTACACATTGTTTCAGAGCTAACATAATGGGGAATATTTTCAAAGAGGGCTGTGTTTCAAGCCAGATGGTTTATCTGCTGAAACAATTCTCCCAGTAGAGAAATAGTGGCTGCACAGTTGCGGTAGTGTTCATAAGCCTAGTGCAGTAGATTCATTTGGCACCCACATTTTGGAATCAAACAAAAGTGTGGCTTGTGTGAATCTCAGACTCAGACGTTCATAAGTGAAAAGGAGTTTTCTGCAGTCGCACATTGTGCTTTGCTGTAAAGGCAGTAGCGTTTGTATCACAAACTCAATATGTAAATATGATATGATTTTTAAATATATATTAATAGTCTCCCACATATGATGCAGAGGGACAATACGAGGAAAACTGCCTCGGAGATTATCACAGTCTGGCCTAAAAAAGAGCCAAATTGCCATTGCCAGTGTGGAAGGCAAATGGATCACCAAAATTCAGTGCTATTCTAATTTGAGGAGCACAAAAAGGTCCAACATTCCATGTTAGACTTTTGGCAAAGATCAACTGTTACGTGTGAGCAACTGAGAGTTATACTACCATTGCTGCCACACAGGGTGCTCCTCACCTTCTCACAAAGCTCTTAATTCAAAATCTCTTGATTTTCTAGGATGCCTTAAAAGGAGGCTGTGGTAGCCACAGAGTTGCCTTCTCCAACCGCGGTCTTCAGAGATCTCACAGTACACACTGGAATCTCATGCTCCTCTGTCGTAGGTACAGTCACTTCCCGTACACTAGTGCAGCCCACATTATAAAAATAAAACAGAAGACTTAGAGGATTCCAACAGGGGGTTACCATGCCCTGAAATGTCTTAAGCATGTAGAGGGATGGGAAAATCCCTGAGATTCCAGAGATTTAAAAAAAAATAGCACATGGGAGGTTCTAAATAAAGAAATGCTTGGGTATGTTGGGGAAGTTGGCACCAGCCTTGCAGTTCTTTCCCTCAGACACTATTTTTGTTCGAGTTAGCGAGTGAGCAAGTGCGAGCAAGTATGTGCATGGATGTGCACTTTGTGTGTGAAGAATTCCATAACTGTTAGCGACATTTACTTTCCTTGAAAAATAACAAATCTTAAAAATGTATTACAAACATATTCCCCCCTGAATCATCTTTAAATGTCACTTTGTTAAAGAAATTATGATGTCCAGTGTGAAACATCAGCATGAAAAAAAGGTTTTTTAAAAAAATTAAATGGTTAAAATAAGATTAGAACTCTGAATCCGAAAAGTGAGAGGTGGCTTAACACTTTTCCTCACACACACACACACACACAATTTTTAGTGCTGCATTTCAATTCTGACTATGGAGGGGGAAAAGGTAAACACTAGAAAAACACTAGAAACTTAATATCTTGAAATTAACAGGTTGATTGGAAAACTCCAGAACCCTGTAAATATCCACATATTGGCACTTAAGGTCATAAAGTATGAAAAATGTAGATCAAAAAAATTCAATTCAAATTAATGTGTATATTAAATCCAGACAAATGTTAGAAACACATGCCAAGATAAAAATCTTTATGTTACTGTTTCCAAAACAGTACCTGTGGGCAAATTTAAATGAAAAATATAAACACTTGCTAATTACCTGCACTATTTTGGAGACTACCCAAGATATTTCAACACATTAGCTCATCCACAGTGTATGGTGCATCTTGATCTTGTTGAGTAAAGATTTGTGTATGTGACATTAAGTACAGGTATTGGATATGCTCAAACTGCAATAATTATGGGCTTTTTCTCAAGTGCTTGCTTTACATATATTTCTCCTTTTTTCTTTTGTATTATTTTATGAATATTCTCATTTCTAAGCATCTTTTGAAGCACTACAGTGCAGACTCCATTGCATTCATAACGAGACTTTTATAAATACTTGGTAAAGGGTCTCACATGTCTTACAATAAAGAAAATCCTATCAAGTCAGATATTCAATCCTTCAAATCTTTATGAGAAATTAATGCCATATATCCTCAAATATATCCATGTACTGAATACACACCAGAATGTTGCCAACTGGTTAAAGGCAATGTTGGGATAGTTCTCTTGTTTGCTGTAGACATTTATATCACTCCAAATGATTTCACCAAGCAAGAAAATGAGTGTGTATTTTTTCCTACTTTTTTTGATATATTATCTCATCAAATTTATATACACAAAATCTTGGGAGGGACATCTCTGAAGAACAAGTTGAATCCAGTTCAAAAATTTGTAGCATCAAGAGCAAATTGGGTATTTTTTAAAAGGAAATAAATGCAGTCATTCATGAGGCCATGCTTAGATAAGTGTATCTCTATTCTAAAAATACTCATTCTAATAGTTTGTATGGTAACTATATAAAGTATCTTTACAATTTATGAATATGTGTAAGCAGAAATCAAAATCTGGTGGGGTGGTAAGTCGGAGTACGTGTGATATAACTTTTGTAACAAAATAATTCATATTTTCAAAGTAGGAAAACCTAAAACTTTGTTCAGAGATGTTATGAGGTTTGCAGAATATTCAGAGAACCAGGAAACAAATGAACGTAAAGGAATTCATCTCAACTATTTTTGTTGAAATGGTTATAGGGGTCCAGGATAAACTGTTTCTTCTTCCTATCTTACCATCATTTTTAAGGGATGCTGCCTTCTGAACCCAGGGCAGGGTGAATTACCATTTTATAGTTATACTAGCTTTCAAAGAAAGAATATTCATTATTTCTCATATTATTTTTGCTAACTTCAACATAATTTTACTTAAAATGATGAGATAATTTATCACAAATTTGAAAGTGAATTTTGAGGACAGAGAGCAAGAGAGAGAGAGGAAGAGAGAGAGATAATACAGGCACATAGGCTTTACACAGTTTTTTAGCTTTGGTGTGATTTTTGGAGTGCACCAGTTGTATGTTATGAACGGGCTATGTGGGTCCCACCAATAAAAGAGAAGTCCACCAAATATTCTCTCCTATATCATATTTATGATGCCCATTCAACATCACAATTCCAGAACCAAGTTGTTTTCCAACAGAGATGCCTCCAGGCTGTACCAGTATGCCAGGGTCTTCCTGGTCAGGAGTCCTTGAACTCTAATTTAGCTCTACACTCTCCAAGCATGCAAAAATACAGCCACAAACCTGAGCCATGCTTCTCCATGAAGGCCGAAGTTTCCAGGTGGCCTGTGTATGTTATGACTGTGCCCGGCCTCAAAATAAAAACAAATTGACAATCCCTTACCTCCCCCAAGCCAGTGCCAATTTTTAAATAAAATGTCTACTCGTGATTTATTGCCAGAGCAAACTGCCAGACTGGCAGCCCCGTTCACCTAGGAGGCAGACAAATCAGTAAAAGCTATGTCAGCTCTGCCAGTTCCCTGAAGTGTGTTCTAGAAGGCATTCCAAATACCATATTTGTTCTATCACCAGGTTTCTTATTTGTGTATATTTGGGGAACAAAATATCTAGATGACTTTAACAGTTTAAGAGAATGGTCATTGTTCCCTCGGAGGCTTCCTGGGATCATCCAACCACACTTTCCACAGTTTACACATTCCTCCGTTCAGGTAAGAATCATCCACCTGGCTTGAACATCACACAGAGATGCAGAACTGAAAGAATTTCTTTCCTGCATCTAACATCGTCTCTGGGGCATGTTTCCTACCACTTCCCCAGGGAGCAAACACCTGCCTTGGTGATTCTCACAAGAAATTTCTCTTATTTATTCCTATCCAACTTATAAATGACAGCACCTCTTGGCAAAGGTGTAATATTTTTCAGTGTTGATTTAGGCCATGCTTGGCTTAATATTCCCTACCAGTCTGATTTTTCCTGAGAGAATAATGTGCATGAGATTTTTGTTTTGCTGTGGTCAAAAGCACTTAATCCTCAGGATTAGCAGTTCAAGGAAGATTGCCGCATAAAATGTATCTAAAAAGAAAAGAAAAAATATAGTCACCAATTCTTCTTTCTGTAAGATCACTGACAAGCTGGGCTGACAAATGAAACCTCTTCCAGTCTTACTTAAGGTGCTTAAAGTGAGTAGTTGCCATGTCAATAAGAAGAAATCTTTTATGTCTCATCCCGATGCCTCCTTGTCATTTTGATGCAAACTTCAGAACTGTCTATATTTCATCAACCATTTCCTTCATGTATTATTTAATAAACTGTTTAGAACATGCCTAATTACAGGCATCTATTATACACTCCAACCTTTGGAATGTATATGAATATGGTAAATTGTCTGCTACCTAAAGTTTTAATGAGAGTATAATACCTTTGGCCCATATGCTTCAGGAACGTTATCCTTAATTATGTAACATGGGTGTTTTACTGATATCTGTTAACTGCTAGAGCAGCTGTGGTTTTCTGCTTTTTTACACAGCTCAGGAGAAGCAGTAAGTTCAGTTTCCCCTTTTTGGGGGGTTGCAAAATCCATGCCCCAAACAGGTGTGTGCAATCACGAACCACAGTGATGAACCCAAACTGCTGTCTTTCTAAAAATTCCACCAGCCGGTGACACACGCTGGTCAAGGTTACACAACCTTGTTTTCCACCGGTTATTCTGATGATTCATTCCCCCATGGGGAGGTGAATTTCAGCCATTGTTACTTTGCTCCTGTTTCTGATAATTAGAGGGATCACTTCCTCATTTTGATGATTTCTCTTTCTCTCCTTTTTGCTCTTGCTTTCCTTCTTTATTTTCTTAAAATGAATTTTGTGCTCTCGGAGGATGTTGCCTGAACTGGCTATTCTCCTCTTCATGCCAAGAAGTAGGAGAGAAAAAAGTAAAAGAAACACACCTACTCACATGCACACATGCACAAAAGAGAATTCTTCCAGTTGTTACTTCACGGCAGTAAATCTGCCTAGAATAACACGTAAACATCAAAGAATCATTCATTCAAAATATGCAAACTCGAGCTAGTAAGTGCTGTCCGCTTCCACTCGGTGACTGTGGAGAATTTCCCGTTGATTCTATTGATTTCTCAAGAGATTTTCTTATGTATGGAACTGTCATCAAAGCCTTCTTCATTTTTTAAAATGCAAATGTTGCAAATTCTCTTTTTTTAAGGGAGGGCTTGATTTTTATAAATATCCAAAGTTTATCCAGAATCAAGTCTGCTGATAAATAAATCAAGTCTTCCTTTAAATGAAGGCAAGTTTGATTACTAAATGATACAATTTAGCTCTACAAGAAACAAAAAAAGGAAAAAGATGATTCTAAGAAAATGAACTGCACAATATTTTGAACAATGGCAAATACATAGATAAAATGTAGGCTTCCCGTCACAACTGCCGTGGAAAAGGCAACACTCATGTAAATTTTGTATGCTTGGTAAAATCATACAGTATTTTGCTCTCTCATCTCAGGTTTTCTAGAAAATACAACATAAATTAATTTCTTACCTTCTTAAGCAAAAATACACACAAGGATACTGTGTAGAAGTTGTTTTCCTAATTAACTGGCTCTTAATAGACACAAAAATGCCTCAACCCATTCCACTGTGTGTGTGTGTGTGTGTGTGTGTGTGTGTGTGTGTGCGCGCACACTGGAAAGAGTTCCACCCTAAAATGTAATCATCCAATATCAGGCCCTGAGTTATCACTGACTGTCTGCCACCTTGGGTAGGTGACTAGATTTCAGTAAAACTCAGCCTTCTCATCTTTTAAGTAAAAAATCATGCTAGTATGAGAGCCAAGGTAGGAGAACTAAATGTTCCCCAAAATGTCCAGCAAAGTACCTGGCATGGAACATGTACCTAAACATGTGGCTAAGCAACTGCTATTATTAACACACATCAGCGCTCTCTTCTGCAGTATAAGCTACGAAAGCACAATTCTCTGGCATGTTTGTTACCCAGCATCCAGTGTACTATCTGGTCCACACTAAGATGAGGTAGGCTAAATATATCCTTCTGAATACACCTAAGATTTTAAAATTGAAAACAAAAAGGGATTTTAAATCAAAGTCATTATAAAACTATTCTGTAGCTTGTAGTATAGCCCAGGTTTACTGAAAATGAAAAAGCAATATCAATATATATTTTAAAATAGCTGATTTCTTCATCTAGCCTTTTCCTGCCCTCTTCCACATTTTAAGAATCTTACTTTTTATCAGTCCAAAATTAATTCTTTTTTTTTCAAAATTAATTCTTTAAACAAAAATTACAAACAACTTTTGATTAGGTGAATCTAGGTACATTGAGAAGATAATACAGCAGAAGTCATAGGTTTGTTCCAGATGGGTAAGTGGTGGGAGGAGGACTTTGAATAGGAAAAACATTAAGCCACTACTTCTATAATTCTTGGTAGTTGCAGGGGTGTGGGCTCCATAAGTGTGGCGGAGCCCTGAAGCAAAGTCACACTTCCCCAAACACAAACTCAGCAGCATGTACCCCCGCCTAACCTGCCCCAGATAGAAGCCTAGTGCTGCACTCTCCCCACAAATCAACCATGTTACATAGCTTTCATATGTATACTGACACTGAAAAGCAATTACTTACAAGTAATTAATAAATATCACTTTTCCCCCCTATTTTTCCTTCTTTTAACTACCTTCTGACCACATTCCTCAGAAGTCAGATGACTCTGAGAAGAAAATGACTAAAAGATGAGACAGTCCTGGCTCAGCAGACAATTGTACAAGCTGTCCTTTGTGAATCCAAAGCAACTGCTCTATCTGCGCACATGGACTGTCTCTGTCAAGTAACACCTTCCTGTACAAAAGTTGACAAGGTTGCAACCACTGGACCACAACCAATACTCACGTCTGCTGAACTTGGCTGGATCTCTTACTTCCATCAAACTCAAGGAAGGAAAGATCTATGGAAGAGGTACATGCTCCACAGAGGGAAGGATGGTACTCACAGATCTCCTTCAAAAGAATGGGTGGTAAAAGTGTAAAATGAACAGGGAGCTTCAATTCCTCACCACTGATAACATTTCCCTGGAATGGTTTCCTGGTGAACATTGCACGCTTGCTTATCCTGAAGCACCCGGTTACAAAAACCATAAACAGCACCTTCAACTTGCACATAGGTACCTCTTTAAAAAAAAAAAAAAAAGAAAGAAAGAAAACTTTGCTTTGTCACCGCACTTAGAGAAGAAGTTAGATAATCATGTCAGGAGAACAAGGAACAGAAACTTCGGACTTTTTTAAAATCTAGGTTGGAATCGCATGACCGAAGATTTTGCAAGTCCTGAAGGAAACAGCTCAGGCAAAGGAGAGTCTTATGATACATTACCCTGCAATCTCTTAGTAGTTAAACCACTGAGTCATAAAGGAAAATATGAATAAAACAAAATGTCAGAACTAAAAAGCGAAGGAAACACACACAGGCTACCACACCTAACAGTTAATCATCCCTCTTCTCCAGTCTCATGGCTCGGGACCACCCTCCTGGAACGGTGCGTCTCAGCACCTACGCACGCTGTAGGGCGGTGCCCGAGTCCTGCGTGGCCCTGAAACTCCAACTCCAGCATAGAAATTGGCCGAGATGAGATATTTGGTGTTTGTTAAATCAGTAATTAAAATGGCAAATAAACCTTAGTCTTGTAAAAGTGTTTGTCTACGAAGAACAGCACATTTTGTGATTGAAGCACACACACTGTAGAGTGAGAAGCACACACACTGTAGAGTGAGAAAACATGGTTAGGTCTCTTCAACAGAAGCAGGTGGTCAGGCTTTTCCTTTACCGTGTCCACTTAGTCTGCTGCCTCCCAAGCCCGCTGTTCACCATACGCTTCCATAGTTAGAGTTTTACGAGTCAGAACGGAGGACAAAGTAGAGTGGTAAAAGCACCTGTAGAGGCCTGGGGAATTAGCTCAGCAGCAAAAGCACCTGCCTGGCAAGCGCAAGGTCGTGAGTTCGGTTCCCGGTACCGGAGAAAAACCAAAAAAAAAAAAAAAAAAAAAGCACATGTAGGGCTCCTCGGCTTCATCTCACTCTTCCACTGCTCCGCTGGACTGAGTACTTACTGCGTCCCTCACCCACTCATCTCAGTGAAAGCCAGCCACATCCTTTGCTACTCAAACCAAAGACTTCAGGGCACCATTAACTTCTCTCTCCCTGTACTTCATGTTAACCCGATAAGAAACCCCGCTGGTTGGTTCTCAAAATATATCCAACCCAAACCATTTCTCATCAACTCCACAACTACAACATAGCCCAAAGCATCAATATTTCTTATGGAGGCTGTGGGACCCGGCCGTACCCTGCAAGCCATTCTGCATGGAGCAGGCAGAATAACGCTCTTTGCTCAGAAGCTGCACCCTGTATTTCCTTCAGTCTGAGCTCTCCTGTGTCTTTTGATCTGGTCCTTCCTTACTGGGACTTACAAGGTTCTACACTGTCTGTTCCCAACACGCCACCCCTTCTCTTCCCTCTCTGAACTCTGTGGTTACTCCCCCATCTGCTCCAGGCACACAAGACCATGGCACCATTCCGGAAAAACCTGATCTTGACATTGCAGGAAATGCACCTACCTGCCTGGATTACCTTCTGGATGGCTGTATATTACACTCTTTATTTGCCTGTTGTCTAAACTGATATTTTCCTCTAAGCTCCTCTCTTACTATCTTATCTACAGTGTCCTTCTCCCTCCCTGGTAACTTCCGTTGGTCTTCCTACTACATTTTTATTCTTAACATGTGTTACTACCTTACAAGTCATAGTTGCCTTTATTTATCCTAGTTATGTTCTATCATCTTCAGTAGACTATGTTACATCATGACAAGGGATTTTAAGGCTTTTGGTTTGTTTGCTCCTGTTCTATCCTCTAAGCATAGTTTTAGCTCCAGGTGCATGGCCGGTTTTCAGTACATCTTTGTCAGTGAATGACTTGAGTCTGTCAGAACGACATTATCTGCATAATGCACAGTCCTGTTTTTCTGCTTTTCTTAATATGGCACCAAGTTTATGAACTTTAAAAGAAGTAATTTTCGTACTTGCTGTGTGAGATACACTCATAACAAAACAGAATGTAATTTTGTTCTACTATGTAGTTTTACTTAGGGAAGAAGCTCCTCCAATTTTTAGATTTAGGTCACAAGGATTAAATTATATACGTTGAAAAGTATTTTCATAAAAATTAAACAGGCAAAATTAGCTTTATTTTCAAGTAATGGCACTTATAATGAAAAGAATTTCAATGATTAATTAAATATCCATTTAAAATATCTGGGAAAAGCCAGGCAGTATAGCTTAGGCCTGCAATCCCAGCATTCTGGAAGGGTGAGGGAGGATCATAAGTTTAAGTCCTGTCTGGGAAGCTTAAAAAGGGTTTTCTGGTCAGCCATGTAACCCTAGTTGCAACTGATATGTTTCAGAAACCATACCTTACATTTACTGTCGCCTCTCAGGAAATTTCCATTCTTTAGGTCAAAGAAATATTTATTTAACACAGAAGTAGGATATGAATCCTCCTTCTTAGAGATGAGTATAAGAAGAAGAAAATCCAATGTGAATGTGGTGATACTCATGAAGGCATTATTTGCAAGTGTGAAGCACTGCAAATAATCTATCCAAAAAGATAGGATTGGTAAGCACAATATTATGCAGCCATTAACAATAATGTTCCTGAAGATTAATACATGATATAAGGAAGCCAGACCCAGAGATCCACCTCTGTAATCCTAGCTTCTTGGGAGGCCGAGGTGGGAGGATCACAAATCCAAGGCCACCCCGGGTAATGTAGAAGATCCTGTTTCAAAATTTAAAATAGAAAACACATTTAAAAGGTGGGAATGTAGCTCAGTAGTACAGCTCCTGTGAGCTCAGCCCCCAGTATCAAACACACAAACATTCACATACACATACGTACACACACATACAAAACACCCTGAGAACTAAGTAAAATGACTGTTTGCATTAATTTAAAAAGTATATAAAGTTCTTTTACAGAAACAATAATCCATGAAAAGAATGTAATAGAACAGGAAAAATCTTTTAATAGTAGCAAAAAAATAGATGAAACATTATGGGAAAAAATAAGAATTGCTCAAAAACTTCATGAGTAAAATGTTAAAATGCTATTTTGAAGGTAAAGAAACTTAACAGTGAGAAAGATATATCTGCACTAAATTATTCAGAAACTGTTTTTGTACCCATTGAAGTGCAAGACCACAAAGGGCACCAGGGATTAAGCGATGAATAGGACCAGATTTTTACCATGGTACTCAAAGGTACAAAGTTGTGTGTGTGTGTGTGTGTGTGTGTGTGTGTGTGTGTGTGCTGTTTTGATTCCTTTTTTTTACAGAATTTCCTTCCTTTTATTTTATGTTAAAGAGAATAAAAAAGAAACCATAAAAACAATACAGAATTTCAAAACAAGATGATAGGAAATTAACAATAGTTGTTGTATTGCATATTGTTATCTTCAAAGTAGTTATTCAGATTACCAGATATATGCGTGCAAAATTAATCAAACAGTTGAACATTAACTGTTCCTTTCAATAAACCAATGGAAATTAGTAGTACAATTATCTTAGCTATCTTCTATATATGTATTTTTCCCTTACTTCTTTCTTTTTACCTTTCCCACTCCCAGCTATTCTTTCCTTTTGAGAACTCCAAAACCAAAGTCACACTCTTCCTCCAAATATGGCGTTATCCTAGGAGCCCCACAGCTGAGAATGGCACCAGCATGCACATAAACCCAGAATGTGAAGTGATGTTTCCCTTACCAAGCAAATCAAAGCCACCAGCAATCCCTCTGACTTCCTAAACATTTCTGGTTCATTTCTCCTCTCTGTCTCCACTACCAACACCCAAACTTCAACCATCATTTCCCTTTCTCTGGAAAAGACTGCTAACCACATCAGCTCCACCTTGACCCAAATCTCCTAAGGGGAAGGCAAATGTGATCCTTTCTAAAATATAATGTTTTACAGCCTGTTCACCATTCCAATTTCAATTCAAACACTGGTTCCTTGGGGGAGATAGTTATGATTGTGAACAGGTTCTGCTGGTACCCTTTACTACTTAGCTGAATACAGAGTAGGTGCTCAAGTGTTAAATTGATACATGCTATATTTAGTACACTGCCTTCAGACTTTAACAGAGTTGCATCCTTACTGTGTTGATATTCTCTACCGCCTACCACCATACATTTTACACACACACACACACACACACACACACACACACACACACAATGGAACTGAAAACATGCAGAGATCTTTGCCATGTGGCTCTTAGTACACAAGCACAAAACAGTGGAGGCCACAGCCCTGTACACCCACTCTCATAATTAGCACCTTTCAGAACCCAGGCAGTATGTCCTTTCATTTCCTTCCCTAAATCTCATAGGAAGAAGTAATGAATGGTTGAGGGTTATGTTGGTGCTGACACTAGGAGAACCTCTGCTTCATGTGAGTGGCAAATGTACAATTAGGTAAGAGAAAGACAAATTAGTCACTTTGTCAAATCCTTACCCTCAGACAGCCTGAATGCAAGATAATCTTGCAAAATAATTGTAATTTCCCAGAAGTTGCTGACATCTTTCTTCTCTCTATTCAGGTTCCAATTTATAACTGGGGAGGCACTCACAAACCAACACAGTTGGTTAACATGAGAATTTCTCTTGTATCAGGAAAGCAAAGCTGAAATCAACTCAAGGTTGATGAAAGTATAGTGAAACAGATACTTTGCACTGTAGTAAGGTGAATATTTTAGAGAAATATTTATCAAATTAAAAGTCTCACCCCTGGAGAGGTGACATATTCTTCCTATCTTGACTCTGTTACTTCCTTGCTATGTGATCTTGGGCAACTTTCTTAACCTCGGTGTGCCTCAGTTTTCTCTTCTGTGTAAGAGTGAAGAATGACAATAATATTACTTACTTCACACATTGGAAGAGTGAGGATTTAAAAGAACACTGCCTCTCGCATGCTTAGCACAGTACCTGGCCCACAGAAATGATTCCTGACTAACATCAATCACCACAATGCTCTCTTTTCCTGCTTCTCCACCTCATCATCATCATCATTAGACCAAAAACTGTGTATGTGTCACTTTATCTCTTTAAAAATGGAAAACACTGAACTTATAAGTCATTAAAAAGGAGATATATCCATACATGTTAATAAACAAAGTTGTTCATTCAGTATAAATAAAAAAACTTCTAGAAGAAAAAAAAGTGTGGT